GTTTTTGGTCTGCAAAAGAGTAAATATTAGCTTTTAGGTGATTGAGGAGGAGAAACTTCAAGAAAATTGCGCAGTTGTAGGCGATTACCTGTTGAAGCAGCTTGCGTCGATCAAAAGCCCATTGATAGGAGACGTCCGCGGGAAGGTGAGAGATAGTCTTTCTTGGGATGACACTCAGAAAATATGTTTAGGGACTCATGACTGCTGTTGAATTTGTTGATGAGGATGGGAAGCCGCTACCAGCAAACCGCATGGCTGATTTGTTTGAAAAAGTAAAGGTTAGTCAAGTTTATGAAAGTGAAGCCGGGAATGGCAAAAGTAAATCGCACAGTAAGGTGTAATCCAGTGGATTTGACGGCTGAGTGCCTCTACGATGCTAGCGTCATTTGCGCGCGAAAAATAGCCATGGCGCGCATATTTTGTCATTGTCCATACAGCGCGCTTTTTCGAATCCTGCATTCTAGGGCTTTTTTTAAGCGCAGGTATGTCGGTGCTGCAAGAACACTTTATAACGACCAATCATTATTTTGCGACGATTTTTCGAGCTTTGAAAAATCTATGTTGCCTGTATTCTGCAAATTTTAGGATAATGGTGTACTAGTCGGAAAAGGAGGTCTGTATGGTAACTGTTTCCGTATCAAGCCACCGATGTGCATCACGAAGAAGGATGCGGACAAATGTGTCTCAGCACTCGCAGACGCTCTCAAACACATAGCATAAGCATTAGTGATAGATTGCTCATGTTTGCGGGTATCATGTGCCGAATTCTATCAGGAATAAAGGGATTCCTTAAAACATGGAGATTTACTTTACAAACAACTATAAAATATTGTGCTGCAAGTGATGAAAGATGATGAGATTTTCAAAACACAACTTCAGTGCAAAACGAATCTGTACTACTCTCTGCCAGGATATAAACGGAAATTTCAAGAAGAGCTTGTGTCACAATGACCCACAGTTTCTCGCGAATAAGACAGGCTGGAAATAATTACACAAAGTCAGTTCCCAGCAAATATGAAATTTGTACTTTACAGTAATTTTTCACTGAAAAGTCACGCTGGTTCAGCGACAACAGTTGTTCTTACGGTGCTCCTCAAAAAGCTTGACCATATCAATTCGGCATCTCTACAAATCAGCAGT